ATGGATTTCTATCTCTTTTTTATACAAACTAGTAAAAAAAGACTCGAATACACTCAGTGCTCACTAATGCCGTTGAAAATAATGCAAATTAAATAAAACAATTAAGCAAAAATAGAGCTTCAAAAGACGTAACTTTAATAAAAAAAAATCGTAAGTTTGACAGCAACACTTCGCAGGCCCATAGGGTCGGGGTCTTTTAAATTTACGAGCCCGAAGGGCCGGGGTCTACTTAAGTTAGGAGCCCAGAGGGCCGGGATCTTTTTAAATTACGAGTCCGTAGGGGCGAGGGTTTTGATGTATGGTCACCTTCATCCTGGTTTTTCAGTCTCAATTTTTCGGGACTTATTTTATTTTCTGAATTGAGTAGGGGTTCCTCCCCAAACCGGACTCCAATTAGTTGAATTTTTGTTAACTGCCGGGAAAGATTATAATATTTTGGTTTGACAGTTTGACTATTAGATGACATTGTGGCCCATAGACAAAATGTCGGATTCGAAATTCGATAATGCCATATGGTACCAATGTACGGTAGAGGAGAAAATGTGGCTCATCGTTGCCACATTTTGCACAATATCTTAAGAAGCTTAACAATTGGATATTGTTTTGAGAATCAAATGATTGCTTAGAGGAAATCAGGTAATCAATTGAGAATGATATAGAAATCCCCAAAAAAATGGAAGTCACCTGGTAAAATATTTAACAATCATAAGTAACTATAGTTGTAATTCTTGGGAATACATGGGATTTATTGATTAGTGATGATGTAGTAAAATTCAACTTTGAGACTCAATTGATGAAAAAGTATTTGAGCTACCAAATCCAATTAAGCACAGAATTATAGAAAATTTAATGCTCTTTTCAATGATATACGATATGTTTTAGTTTGCTCAAATTTCAATGAAGATATGGGCAATTGTTCATGAACATGTCAGGATTTTTTTTTTTAAATTTAGATCCAAAAAATCTTCCTTTAAAATTGTCATTTTGAAATAATGTTAGATTTTTTTTCGACTAATTTAGACCCGCTCTATCGATTTGAGAAGTTAAAATTACGAAAGTCTGAAAAATGAAAATTTTGAGTTTTTGAATTTTTTTCAAAGGGATTTGGGATTTTTATTTCCAAATTTTCAAATTTAAGTTTCTCGGAACCCGTCAGAGATTTTGGATCAATTTTTTTTTAAATTGTAGCTCCTAATAAGGGCTCCAGTTGAAGTCGTTGGCATTCACGCTTTTTGAGAAAATCGAGTTTGAAGTTTTTGACTAAATTTCAACTAAAATCCAACTTTGAGGCTCAATTGCTCTAAAAGTATTTGCGTTATCAAACTCAATCTAGCACTGATTTATAGAGAATTTAATGCTCTTTCCAACCATATATAATTTATTTTGATTTGTTCAAAATTTAATGGAAGTATTGGCAATTGCTCCTAACCTTGTCAGGATTCAAAAAAAATTTAAACCTAAAAATTGAGATTTTCTTTTTGATTTTTATCCCCTTTTGAAATCGAGATTTGGAAATGATGTTAGAGTTTTTTTCGACTAATTTAGATCCGCTCTATCGATTGGAAAAGTCAAAATTCGAAAAATCTGAAAAATGAAAATTTCGATTTTTTCAAAGGGTTAAGCCCCTTTGGATTTTAATTTCAAAATTTTCAAACTCAGTTTTCCCGAAACCCGTCAAAGATTTTGGATCAATTTTTGAGATTGTAGCCCTTGAGGAGGGCTTCAAAATGGTATTTAGTTAAGTCGCTGGCATTTATGGTTTTTGAGAAATCGAATTTGAAGTTTTTGACTAAATTTCAACTAAAATCCAACTTTGAGGCTCAATTGCTCCAAAAGTATTTGCGTTATCAAACTCAATCTAGCACTGATTTATAGAGAATTTAATGCTCTTTCCAACCATATATAATTTATTTTGATTTGCTCAAAATTTAATAGAAGTATTGGCAATTGCTCCTAACCTTGTCAGGATTCAAAAAAATTTAAACCTAAAAATTGAGATTTTCTTTTTAATTTTTCTCTGTGTTGAAATCAAGATTTTGTAATGATGTTAGAGTTTTTTTCGACTAATTCAGACCCGCTCTATCGATTGGAAAAGTCAAAATTTAATAAATATGAACAATAAAAATTTCGAATTTTTCAAGATTTTTATTTCAAAATCCCAGTCTTGGATATCTTAAAATCTATTAAAGATTTTGAATTAAAATTTTCAGGAAATATAACTCTTGACAAGGGCTTTAAAATGGTATTTAGTTAAAATCGCTAGCTCTTATGGTTTTCGAGAAAATCGAGTTTGAAATTTTTGATAAAATTGGGACTAAAAGTTAACTTTGAGATCCAATTGCCCAGAAAGTATTCGAGTTATCAGAACCAATTTAACATGGATTTATAGAGAATTTAATTCCAATCATATATAATTTGTTTTAATTTGTTCAAATTTCTTTGAAGATATTGGCCATTATTCCTAACCTTGTCAAGATTTGAAAAAATTTCCAGAACAAAAATTGAGATTTTTTAGCTTTTTGAAATCGCCATTATGAAAGTGATGTTAGAATTTTTTTCGACTAATTTGAACCCGCTGAATCAATTGGGAAAGTCAAAATTTCGAAAATATGAAAAATAAACATTTCGAGTTTTCGATTGGTTTGACTGAAACCCCCCATAAGCAACGCCACTGGCCAAACAACTTGCCAACTTGAAAAAGAACCGGCCAATAGCAACAAGAGCCTGGAATAAACAGAAATTGAAATATAAAAAGAGAAACATACATAAATATACCAAAAGAACAAATATAAATTTATATAAAAACTCGTATAAAAATCAAAGGACCTTACACACCACTTATGGGTATTTGGTTTTCTGACAAACAAATGAAATTTGTATGTTAATAAAGTAAAATTTTTATACATGACGAGGGATGTTTATAAAGTGTATGCTATTGTTAAAAATATTCAAAATTGAGGAAATTCCAGATTTTTCATAAAATCACCAGATCTGGTGAAATTTCATCAGACCTGGCATCACTGCAGCCAGAAATCTGGGACTATGGCACAACATATGCCAATTCGATTTTTCTTTAAACAATCCCCATTTTAAGCACTCATCTTACACACGTAACGATTTTGATTCTTTTTTTAAATCAGTCCCCGATTTTGATATTCGCTCTTAACTAACTGGTTTGTGATGACGTCACCTCACCACTCTATCCAAATTGCTCTAGCAAGATGTGATTCTGATATGGTTAAGATTTTGGGTTTCAATTAAGAAGAGCTCAAAACCAGTTGCAGATTCGTCTGTTCAATCACTTTGAACTGATTTTGATTGGAATCAAATTAATGTTATTATTTCTGAATAATTTTCAGCCAGAGACGAGATCTGGATTCCATCATATTTATATAAGCAGTTTTGGTTAGAATGATGTTTTGACTCTTGTCAACTGTGGCCTGTATGAGTTTAAAATTCTCAATTTGAAGCTAAGAATCTGAAAGATGAAGCGTTATTTTCATTGATGTTCTGGTTGATTGTGAAGTTTGAGATTTTTCAACAAAGTATGGGTTTAGGTTCTAGAGTCTTGGTCACTTAACATAGAACCTTTTTTTTCAACAAACTGGCATCTATTGTTTTTGAATGCTACAGGATAGGTCCGTCATCAACAGATTCAGGACACATTTTCATTGATATTCTTATTCTGGCCACAATAGTTGTCGTGAAATGGATTACATCTTATTTTAACATGAGTTTCAAGCTGTATATCTGAGTCTCTGGAATCCTACAGATTCAAAATTATCATATGATTTTCAGTTTCTGGTTGACAGGTACCTACTCATCTATGACTCCGATGCGGCCCTGCTTACGCGAGCCTTGATCCATCTCCCAACACCATACAGAATACGGAGGAAATCGTTGTCCTATCCTCAGCTCCTAACCAAACCTAATATTCCCTACCAAAACACTAAATCACATACGCGATAAGAACTTACGCTAAGGAAGTATCAAATGCCATTAGAAAAAAAAACATAAGAAAATACAAAAATGGACAAATACTGCGAACCATAAAAGAAAATAAACGTATGAAAATCATGAGAAGAAAAACCATAATTGCCATTTATGGCAAACGAGAAATATTCCAACTCAAAGATAGGAACGGTGATAGTAAGGGATAGGGATGAACTATCACGGACTGGAAGAGTTCTATAAAATATTATATATGTATAGATCTCAGACAAATCAAGCAAGAGAAGAGCCACTATTGCAAAAGGTACAAAACCAAGGCTCCGAAGACACACCCGACATTTTTCAGGAAGAATAACATTACATCACACACTCCATAAAATGAACAATAACAAGGCTCCTGGGAGAAGACGTAGTGATAACAGACTATAAAACTCTTCAATTTGGATATCTCTTATGGTCATTCATCAACAGATTCAGACCTAGATTTTATAAAAGTGAAAGTCGATTCTGGCATATTTCATCCTGGCGATTTGATGGACTACTCCAGAGGAGTTGTAAGCATGAACCTACATTTTTCGAATACATACGTAGTTAATACGTCAGATGCAAAACAATCAAAATCCACCAAGGTTATTATTCCATAAGCCGCATAAATTATTTAACAAAATCCAATTATCATGTTTTAATTATTATTCAATAATATCCTATATGTGTTGTAGAGATAGAGGTATACCATCCTGACGTCAACCATTCATTATCTATAAACTAAAGCGAATAAATCACTGATCTTGTGCGCAAACAAGGAAAAAAATAAAAAAACAATCTAATGTATACTGAATTATTATATGTACCGTTGTTATTTACAATACAGCATTTGGCGCTTGATTTTATAAACCATGAATCATCAACTTTTTTACAATAATTGCGTAAGAAGTTATCCGACCAATGAAACGATTTTCAATTAAGAAAATCGCTAAAAATAAACTTTATCTCATTTTTGATTTTGTTAAAGTGGTTTTCTATGAGTACGAAAAATTAAGTCAGCTTACCATTCGTCCACCGCCAGTTTTTCCGAAAATACTTTCCGAATACATCGCTGCTTCAATATAATCACAATCGTCCAGGCCGAAATTCAAATAAGGCACTAACTGAGACATCAAGGACGAAGATTTTTCAAAAAACCACAACTTGATACGCAACAAGTCGACTTAAAAAAAAAATTAATCCGGCTCGAAGGACCAAAACTCTATTACTATCGCACGTTAATGAATGGAACAAACGCTTTCAAACTAGTGGCAAGAGTTCGCTTTAAAACCACCGTTTAAAGACAATCAAGGTTGGTCGCGCTCGATTTGCTCGCCCGTCTCTGTCTGCCACTATCGAGCCGGAGTATGCCCGTCATTATCCAACGCGTTTAGTCAGGGGGGAAAATGACGTAACGAGAGCGCGTGTTGGAGACCCGAGAAACAACGGTCACAATAAGAAATTTATTCCGAAAATTTTTCGTTCTCTCGTCGGCTTGCGAAACGTGTCGAGTTTACGCAACGAGAATTTTACGTTTCAAGTGTTAAAATCGAGGAGACAATCCTGTTTTAATAAATTTGATCGTATTAAATATGAAATCGAGACCAAAAACGAAATACCAATTTACACAAAGACTCACATATTCATAAACAATAAGTGAATATTATACATATATCAGCAAGTGGTTTACAACTCCTGTCGTTTCTCGCTTCTCACTTTCCATAGGTCTCCAGTTCCATTAGTCTCCTCATCCTTGAAGGCCTCTTTTTTCCATGGCCTCCATGATGTCACTTTTCTTGGAAGTCTACTGCGCTTTCTGCGCGCTGCTGGGATCCAAACCCAAACTTTCTTTGGCCACGGGCTCGTGTGCATTCTTTACGGATGGCCATACCATTTAAGTCTTTTGGATTCAATCGTGTCTATAATAATTCCATCCACTTCCATCGATCGTCTTATTTCTTCATTTCTAATATGATCAAGCGTGGATGTTCTGCTAATTCTTCTCCAGTGATCCATTTCCACAACCAAGAACTTTTCCCTATCCCTTTTTGTTAATTCTTAGGTTTCTGACCCATACGTAGTTATAGTTTCAACAATGGTAATGGTATTTTCTTGTTTCTTTTCGTTATTTTGTTGCTCCATAATAAGGAATTCAGTTGGGAAATAACTCTTCGCCCTTGACCAGCTTTATTCGAGATGTCTAAGGCACTTTTACCATTGGAAGAAAGGGTAAAAGTAAAATATTTGAACGAAAGGCAGTTCTCCAACACACAATGTCCTTGATCTAAGTCATCTGCCAATCCGTCGCAAACTGCCAAACTCGGGTCATCTTTATCTCCAGCTATAACTACCTGGTCTTCAGCAAAAAGGAGAGTGAAAAGTATCTTCTATCGTTAAGCCCATGCCGCTACATTTCCTCTTCCTAGATTTCAGGGCAATCTCAATATAAATTATAAAAAACAGTGGAGGAAGGGAGCAGCCCTGCCATAGACCTTTTGTTGTTCCATCTATACAAGAACGTCCTGCCTTGAAGCCATTTTGTTCCTCTGATTCTTGGAGCTCGATTTATATTCTATTCTCCAGAATATTTTCATATAATCTGGCTACTGAGCTTGTGATGGTGATGCCCCTATGGTTTTTACAGTCCAATCTGTTCCTTTTTTTGAAGATTGATGAGATTAACCCTTCTCTCCAGTCTAATGGCGGTTGTTCTCCTCGAAGATCTTCGAAAGGATCTCTATTAGTTTTACTGTTCGATATGTAGGTTGCTAGGCCTAGGAGACTTTCCGTTTTTCATGTCAGTTAATGCATTTTGAACTTCCCGTGGTGATACTGCTGGGGTCCAGGCGTTTATCTCGTCGTTTTCAGTTCCATCAGTTTAAAATGGTGGTGTATCCTCTGTTAGTAGATCTCTGTAGTTTGTCCATTTCTTAGGGTCTATGAGGCTTATACTCGCTGAATCAGTGTTCTCTCTTCCCATGCTATTTAGAAGTTTCCACGCTTTGTTTACTAGCGAATTTCCCAAGCTTCTATTGACTTGGTCACATGATTCTCCCCAAAAGTCGTTTTTTGGCTCTTTTGATCTGTACTTGAGTGGACCTTCTTTTATCGACGTGTCTTTCTCGATCTTTACGGGCCTTTGTTTCTAACCATTTCGTATTAGTACGCAGCTTTCTTTTCATTTACTACTCCTTCTAGAGTATTGCTCCACCAAGGCGCAAATTTATTCGATTTCCTTGAGGGCTCTTTCTGTCCTAAAGCCTCGTTTGCTGCTTGGTGTATACATGTTTCGATCTCCTCGTACAAATTGTTTGCTGTGCTTTATTCTTGGATTGTCGAGAGTTTTTGAGCGAGTCGCAGTTGATCTAAGAATTTTGTTGTCACCGTTAAGGCTTTCCAGATTATATTTGATATTGGACTCTTCTGGTTTGTTACCTGCTTGTCGTTTCCTTGTTCGGCTTCGGTTTCGGTAAAATATGGACTGTATTCAACACTACCGCTTTCTGCATCATCAGAAGGTTGTGGCTGCCAGGAACTTGCTCTAATACTTCACAAGTGGCGTAGGTTGTTAGTCCTGTGGCTCCAATGATGATCCGTACAACAGAGGTCTTCATGTTCCACATTATTTGGATTTCTATTTGTAAGTCCTTATACTTCAAGAATTTTTCGGTCTCTCTCTGTGTGATGAAAATGTCTGACTTGTTTGCAGTAATATGTCGGTCAGTTGGTACTTGCATGTCCCATATTATCGTGATGTCAGTAGTATCAACTACAGGGTCTGGAATATGAAAATACCATTTTTCATCTACAGGTATGTTGAATTCTTCGCAGATGTTCCAGTGAAGTACGGAAGGTCTCGTTGTATGTCCGGCAAAGTCTACATTTTGGGTAATTGCCGGATGTCATGATCTTAACCCTCATGTAATTCGTAGCGAGAGGCGGCTCCTGGCAGATGAGAGAAGTATATTTTCTCAAGCAGTACCTACATGGTGGTCTGATACGCATTCAGGTCCTGTCATTACTCTAACATCCGTTATCTTTAGGTTAGTATGCTGTCTGACTATTAAATTTCATGTAAGTTGGACCCATGCATAGCGATGTATATCTTTGTGCGCAAAAAAGCCATTGGCTATTTTTAGTTCTGTCTGTTGACTCATCTCTACAGTGTTTTCCCCATGACATCCCACTATACAGCATCATTTTGGTGAATCCCAGTTCTTCCGTTTATATCTCCCAGTAGGATTATTTCTACTCGGTCAACGAATGCTTGGGAGCATCACTCCAGATGTTGGAAAAGCATTCCATACATGGTCTGGATTAAGCCTTAAAGGCTCAGTAGTAAAGAAGTTAGGTTTCAGACCTGCAACGACAAATGAAGCTGTTCAAATGGATTTTGACGCGTTGGAGGCGGAGATCCAAGACAAACCGGAAGATGAAGAAGATACCCAGATGATTGGCCAGATAGGGAATGCGCCTCTTTCTTATCAAAACCATGGATGAGAGGATTTGGATAGAGTCAAGAGGTTTTTGAAGTTTGATGGATGTCGGACTTGGAAGTAAGATCAGATCAACGTAGGTTTCATACTTATACGAATATTTTCATAAAACACGTCCGAAAAAATCTTGTGAAGCTTATGTCAGTTGTTAATTTTTTGCTCAATTTTCCATTAACTCAGTTCTCTCCTTTTTTCTGCATACTTTCATTTCTAGATTTACGTTCACCAGTTTCATGACATGGATGACTTCCTACTATTTCTGTTTTGTGCGTCTGCAGTTGAAGCTCCTTTTTTTTCTAATTAAACGAGGCATTTTGTGAATTTTAGTTTCTAACATCATATTCTTAAGCTTGTTCTTCAGTTATATTTACTTTCAAAGCCTCTGCCGTAAGAAATTTATCCAGGGATTCGATTGAACATCCAAAGATCCCAAAACTGGCGGCATTATTGACTTACAAGTCTTGGTATAGGTACTTCTATTTCTACAAGTTCATCAACTCTATCGAATAACTTTGCTAAATGTTTACGTGCCTCAATATGTGAAAGTTGCAGTATGCGATTATTTGGATTAATAAATCGATTCTAGCTAAGCGATATCAGTTTTCTTCATCATATCCTAACTCTCCACTTCCATCAATAATGAAGCACCATTGCATCTTTCTTCACCATCAAAGCTTCCATCTTCATCTTTCATTCATTCATCTTCAAAATCCATATTACTAGCTGAATCTTGTATAGAAAAAGTACAAGTTTATACCTTACAAGCCTTGACATTCTGGTCCCATAACATATTTCAAAATGGTAATAGCATAGTAGTTCAAAAAGTAGTTTCAATTCAGTCAGAGCCTTTCGATGTCCCAAATTATTGTTTTAACTAAATTTTGCCGAACAACCTTCAATAATTGGGGGACCACTATCTTAATAAGTTCGCAATTTACATCCAGATCAGCTTGCACTTCTGTAACTGCGATAAATTTGACCTTTTATTATCTGGGAAAATATCTGAATTCTCTCTGCTTTTCTCAAAATCCGTGAGGCGTGAATACATATATTCTCTGTAAGTTTTATAGATAACTAACTGTAACCTACGTGCGTTGCTACGCCTCTCCAAAAACATTTGTTTCAAAGTAACTCAAGATTTACACTTCAGGGTCCTTATTAATGAAAAAGGGGAGCAGGATTCCCAGGAGAACGTGTGCTCCGTTTTTGTCACTTATATTATCATTTGCATATCATTGAGAAAGACGGAACACTCGTTCTCCTGGGAACGTTGCTCACCTGTTTCAAGAATAAGGACCCAGATCTATCCCACAGGAATTATGCATTGATTCCGATTTTAATTGTACTGTTACTGAACCCTGACTGCTCAGACCACAGCGCTATTATTGCTTCATTACCTCCGAAAGTTAGGTTTATTCGGAATTGTAAGAAGCAAGGCCAAAAATTTCTCTCATTTTAAGCAAACCTGAAACAACATCTTTTGGCAATCCATCTATTCTAGGGCAGATCTTCTTGAATAAGAATTCCTTCTTACTCTGAGTAATATCATAAATAAATATTTTCTCCTGAGGCCCCTTCGTAAACAGGGTTATCGAAAATATTGGTTGAGAAAGGGCTTAAAGATTTCTCCAGCAAACTTGAGATCTTTAAATCTCATAAGAAAATTCTTGCTGACTAATATCTGAAATATAGAAATATGTATAGAAAATCCATCAAGTTATCTTGAAAACTTGCATGCACTGTTTTCCCACCAATATATCCATGAACTGAGATCCATTCTCAAGTAAATCAGAAATCAGTCCGCAGCCGGTTCAGATGGTAGTACCGAT